TTAGCACCTCGAGGGCAGTAGGCAGAACACTCGTGCTGTGTATGGTGGTTGAAGGATGTTCGGTTCGACGGTTGAGGGTCAAGAGTCCAAGGTTTAACGGTTCAAGGTTTCGGGCCTGCAGACGTAAGGTTTGAGGTTCAGGGCTTTGGGCTTGGCGTCTAGCTGCTAGCTTCTCCTTCAAACCTAGCTCGTGGTGTATGTATATATATATATATATAGAATATGTTTTCGTATATTATATGTATATCTGTCGCGTAGCCGCCCTCAACCCCAAACACCAGGTCAGGTGTAGCAACCCTGCATATACGAGACAGGTCCAGTCTAGCATGGAGTTGCGGATTTAATGTGAAGTTCTCCGAGTTACGATGATGTGGGATCCCCCAAGAAGAGTATGACACTCTTACAGGGAGGACTTCCAACAGGGAGCGCCATTTAGAGAATCCCCACATCTCATATTCGTTATACTTGGCCTGAAGGCCAACATGGATAATCGGCCCAGGAATGACAAGCCACAGCCGACAGCGAAGATCTGATGTCAGCCACAAGCGAGACAGGCAGTCAACCAGCTGACAAAAGTATGCCGTGTTCCGGAGTATCGTCGATTAGAAGCTGAAGCAGGTTGGCAGTATTCGATAGCAAAGAGAATGCCAACACGTGCATCCTAGATCCTGGATCCTACTCCTAAGCCTCGAGAGTGCGAGAGAGAGAGAGAGAGAGAGCGGGTCCATGTTCCCACAGGTTGTCTTATGGTTCGCTATGCTATTGCACATACGAGTGCCGATTCTTATTTGGCCCATAACATAACCCTCAGCGCGAAATATCCGAATCCTACGATATGAGGTTGGTACCGTTGTTTGCACACTGGCCTTGCTTGTTTTGTCATTGTTCTTCTATCCTTGACCAAATCATGGGCCAGAGCTTGACGACCCTTACCCTTCTGTTTGGCATTCTCTGTCGCATTCTGAATCTCACTCTTGTGTGATCTTCTTGCATCTTTTTTTACCTTGCACCTTCTCTTTGGGAGTGCCATCACGGTACATGCCGGTTATCGGTGCTCATTATCATTCCGGAGTCGTTTGCTTTTCAGTATACTAGAACCATCAAAAGGCCGCTGTCGTCTAGGGAGTTTAGGGTTCAGAGTTTAGGGTTTAGGGTTTAGGGTTCTCTCGCCCGGAACTGCCGTCACCGTCCGGCGAGAGAAGCCTGCTGCAAAAGGGTTTAGGGTTCGTTGAACATTTCCATACTGATTGCCAGCATCGCAGAAGTTCGGATCATGTCGAATTTGACTACGTGAACCACTTGTCATCGCTATCTTCTGCGATATCACCATTGGCCGCTTGACCCTCAAACCTGTACCCTGAACCACTTGCTTGCGGCTTGGTGAGTGGTCATGCATTCCAGCATGCTTAAGATTTTAGGGTTTGGGTCGATCATCGCCCGTTCCCTTATATATTTGGCCATAATTAGGCAACCTTTAACATGAAACAGAAGACCCTAGACCCTAAACCCTAAGGATCTGTTGAAATCCGGCCTTCTCTAGAATGCCTTAAAGTCAGGCTCGGGGTTCTTACGTTTTGTAGTTTCGGGTTCTGGGTTTGGGGAGGACCGGCCATTGTGGGGCCTTGAAGGTTATGGTGAGGTAGACGTTGCAATGATAACTGCTTCAGGTCAGGCGTTAAGAAGCTAAAAACGGTTTAGGGTTTTGGGTTTGCAGTGCCTGTACATGCCCGTACATTTGTCCTGAGTCATCGCCATCGCTACTCGGTTTTCGAGGATGGATTTCAGAGGGATGTTGCTTTCACTTGCGCCATATCCCAATCAGGGCCATACATTGCAAGGAGGATGATCATAGTATCATGTCGACGTAGCATCAATACCCAAGACCGAGTTTCTGATCCCTTCTGAGCCCGAAACCCAAAACCAGACCTGAGAGCCTAGTTGATGAATACCCCTAAGAAAGGATCGCTTAATCTTTTGCAACGCCCAAATGCCTGCAGCATTTTCACCTTTGTTTGGTCAGTTCGGCTTTCAGGTGCACGTGTTGCTCCGTGCCAACCCTAAACCCCTAAACCCTAAACCCTAAACCGCCCAGAAGCCCGCCACAGCCCTACATCAATCGTTGCATCTGGGTGGGCTCACTCAACACTTACAGCTGCAAGCCAGACCTTCAGCCCCCTGCCGCAGCTCAGTCTAGTATATGCCAGGATGGACCCTTGTTGAGAATGCCCGTCACTGTGGAAGTCGCACTGCTGAGCGTAAGGAACGTTACTGTAGAAGCAGACCAGGATGAACAGGTGGAAGCATTGAAACGTCGCGCGCCGACTGCACTTGGAGTGGGGAAAGGGCGGCTGGTGGACTCATCTGGAAGCATTTTGGATGCATGTTCCACAATCGAGGTTGCCAAGCTTCAGAATGGCACTTCACTGACGTTGCATATAAGTGGACTTCAACTTCAATCTACTGGTGGAGCTTTCGCTGCCATTCTCGGGGATGGATCGGTAGCGGTTTGGGGTCGTGCTGACAGTGGAGGTGACACAGTAGTGCTGTGCAGCATCGGCTGAGGAATGTGCAGCAGATCCAAGCCAACGACCATGCTTTCGCTGCTATTCTTGGCGACGGGTCCGTCGTGACATGGGGGCAAGCTGGGCGCGGCGGTAACAGTCGTGCTGTGCAGCATCAGCTCAAGAATGTGCAGCAGATCCAAGCCAACGACTATGCTTTCGCTGCCATTCTTGGCGATGGGTCGGTCGTGACATGGGGTGATGCTGGGTTCGGCGGTAACAGTAGTGCTGTGCAGCATCAGCTGAGGAATGTGCAGCAGACCCAAGCCAATCACTATGCTTTCGCTGCCATTCTTGGCGACGGGTCGGTCGTGACATGGGGTGATTCTGGGTGCGGCGGTGACAGTAGTGCTGTGCAGCATCAGCTGAAGAATGTGCTGAAGATCCAAGCCACTGGCTGCGCTTTCGCCGCTATTCTCGGAGATGCGTCGGCCGTGACATGGGGTTTTGACTCAAACGGCGGTGACAGTAGTGCCGTGCAGCATCAGCTGAAGAATGTGCAGCAGATCCAAGCCAGAGAAGGTGCTGTTGCTGCCATTCTCGGCGATGGGTCGGTCGTGACGTGGGGTAATGCTTACATTGGTGGTGCCAGTAGTGCTGTGCAGGATCAGCTAAAGAATGTGAAGCAGACCCAAGCCAATGACTATGCTTTCGCTGCCATTCTTGGCGACGGGTCGGTCGTGACATGGGGGCAAGCTGGGCGCGGCGGTAACAGTCGTGCTGTGCAGCATCAGCTGAAGAATGTGCAGCAGATCCAACCCACTAACTTCGCTTTCGCTGCCATTCTTGGCGATGGATCGGTCGTGACATGGGGTGATTCCCGGCGCGGCGGTGACAGTAGTGCTGTACGGCATCAGCTGAAGGATGTGCTGAGAATCCAAGCCACTGGCTGCGCTTTCGCCGCTATTCTCGGAGATGCGTCGGTCGTGACATGGGGTTTTGACTCAAACGGCGGTGACAGTAGCGCTGTGCAGCATCAGCTGAAGAATGTGCAGCAGATCCAAGCCTGTCGTCACAACGCTTTCGCTGCCATCCTGGGCGATGGGTCGGTCGTGACATGGGGTCATACTGGTCTCGGCGGTGACATTAGTGCTCTGCAGGACCAGGTGGCCAGCTGAAGAACGTGATTCAGATCCTAGCCTCCGACTCTGCGCTTGCTGATGGCTCCGGGGTGATGGAAAACACGTCTTAAGGGGGTTCAAGACTACTGTATATTGGGTTTTGGGGGTTCCTTATTATACTTGTTATAATTATTGTATAATATATCCTTGGGTTGCGTGTGTGTGTGTGTGCGTCAAGTCGTTGCGACCATGAGGTTTCTGTCACAAGTAGAGTTGTGCGTGTGTGCTGTAGGGGCCTGAACAATTATCAATCACATTTCGCAGGGTTTCTTAGTATGATTGTACTACACTATACCCTAAATCTTGGTCCTAAACCCTGAATCCCTAAACCGTAACCCCCTCCAACCCAAACCACATTTCAACTTTGAAGGCCGCCTTGTTTCGACCCAGAAACAGAAATCGGTAGCACCGCTTTCACCATGCATTGCACTCTTAGCGCATGAACTTCGAACTCTATCGCTTAGGACTGTGACGTGTAGCAGCACATCGAATCGGAGCAACCCACAAATTTAGAGGTGGAATCGGGGCTGATTGGATGATCCCAATGCCTGGTAACCCTAAACCCTGAACTTCACCGGCAACCTTGAGCCCTTTGTCTCCAACGCTCACATCGCCTCAGTCGTAAACGTAATTAGACATAACGAAAGTTGTACACGGTTAGGGTTTAGGGTTTAGGGTTTCGCACAAGTCTGTTCTACTGTTTGTATCCATGGGGCCTTGGCTGTGTTCAGGTTAGGCTGCTCTGGACTGTCCGAGAGTGAGAGTGCAGACCCCAAACCCTTAACCCTAACATAGGGGCCTTAATAATTACCTATACTATTTTGGGGGGGGATTCCTTCTTATAATTATAGTATAACCCATGAGGATCCTCATGGCAAAGCCAATAGCATTCTGTGACAGCCCCATAGGATCTAAGATCCTGCTTTGCATTTGTTGCCGTAGTGTAGGGGCCTGAATAACTACCTATACTATTTTGGGGTTCCTTATTATAGTTATGGTATAATATATCCCCAAACCCTTTTCGAATTATTAAGGCCCCTACATTATGATCCTTACTCCCATAAACGCTTTACTATAAACTATACACCCGACCCTAAACCCTAAACGTGACCATTTTTTTTTGCTGTGACCCACTCAACCCGCCGGGATCCATATAGCTCAGCATGTTGCAAAGCTCTAGTTTTCTAGCAAGGAAATAGGAAACTGATTGAATCCTTCCCCAAAGCCTAAACCCTAAACCCTAAACCCTAAACCCTAAACCCTAAACCCTAAACCCTAAACCCTAAACCCTAAACCCTAACCCTTTGTGGAAGCTCAGGGCCGATTTCGTGAAGCGGCGGCTCTACGGACTTCCCAAGGCATCGCTGGGCTCTGTAAACCTAGAGACTCCAATATCCCTTAATTAAGGAATACACCCTAATTCATATTAGGGATCCTACTATAATTTAAGGTAAGTTCCTTAATTAAGTGGTATTGGAGTCCCTGTAAATTGCGGCAAGACATGTTGCAGTTTGTCCAGCCGTGGGTAGGGTTTTATTAGGGTTTAGGGTTTAGGGCGCTAAGGTTTTTTTATGTATGTAGACATGTGTATGTCGACACACATGTAGGCATAAACACATACATACACACAGACGGTCCATCTCTCGCTCTCTCTTTGTCTCGGGGGGTGGGGTTTAGGGCTTAGGCTTTAGGACTTGATTGTTTGTTCATGTTCTGATCTTGGTTCCTCCAAGTGGCTTTGATACCTCTAAGGTTGTCCGGAGTTTCAGTTCTAGCTACCTTGAGGTTTGAAGTACTCAAGTATGGTTACCTGATGCATAGTCCTTACTGCTAAGTCCCATGAACCTTCAAGAATGGCTCAGGAAATCTTCAATATGTCCGATTTCCTAATGTGAGCTCGTGCTTAATAAAAGCTCCTCAATTGGGCTCAACGGGGCCCTGCACACAATAGTGGAAAGATCCCGCAATTGGGCTAAATGAGGGCCTGCACACATGAATACAGCATACATGGTTACCACCCCTCCATAGTCCCGGCTTTTGGTTTTCTTTCTTCTTCTGGGAACAGACACTGCTACTACAAACTGACGCCCTCTGGAAGAGGAGAGACAGAGACAGGCAAGATAGAGGAGAGCCACGCTCCAAACTCCGGTTTTGTATGGCTGCCAGATCTATAGGCTTCTAATGTAAGCCCCTTTTAAAAAGAGCAATCCCATCAAGTTTTCTATGGTGTGCTATACGATAGCCTCGAGACCCCACAACAGTGCGGATGAAAAGTACCCCTCAATAGTGCAGTGTTCTCCCGGGAGCCCCCAGAACACCAAACCCGAATCTCGCTCTGTATTCAAAGCCAAAGGCTTCTATTTATCACACGAGGCCCAGAAGAAGCCCCGTGCTACTCTGTACTACTTGCGTACCACTGCAGTACTAATACTGTACTAATACTGTACTGCTACTGTACTACTACTACTACTACTACTACTACTACTACTACTACTCCACTGCTACTGTACTACTGTCCTACTACTGTACTACTACGGTACTATTACGGTACTACTACGGTACTACCATTATACTACTGTATTGCTGTACTTCTATTGTGCTACTCTTGTACTGCTATTGTATTATTGTGTACTACTGTACTACTACTGTACTACTATACTATTACTGTACTACTACTGTATTTTCATTGTACTACTATTCTACTACTGTACTACTCTTGTATTGCTACTGTACCAATGTGCTACTACTGTACCAGCGACCACCACTTAGACCCCACCCCCCAAACGATTATCCAGATGCCAAAAAAACAACCCCCACCACTATGCCGCATTTCGGATGATCAGGGGGGTTGGGGGAGGGGGGGAGCTTTTAGTCAAGAGAATTCATTAATTAAGGGTCTGGGGTTTAGGTGGTAGACCGTAAGGCTTCTGGGCTTGGAACTCACATGTTAGGCAGCCTGGAGCCTTACTGATTTTGCCACTGCGGGCTCCCTTAACTGTAGGGTTTAGGGTTTAGGGCAATCATACTACGCCACAACCCTGTTGAAATGACGGATTAAATCAGGTTCCCGCATGTTTGGGAGTTACAGACTAGGTGCTCCATCTAGTGCTTCTTTCTAGTGCTTGGGGCTGGTGACTGGATGCGGATTGACCTAAAAAACACTTTCTGTACACCGGCTGCTGCTGCATTGGTATCTGAAGTTTATCGGGGGCATGGGGCATTTGCGAACGCATATAGGCTCTGGAACCAATTCTGGATCCCCTAGCAGGGGCTCTGGAAGTAACGTGTCTAGGAATCGTCCAACATGAACCCTAAACCCTAAACCCTAAGTGGGAGGGAAAAAAACCCTAAACCCGAAATTCGAGGAATCGCCCCAAAAATGCTAAGTGGTACAGTTCAGAGAACCACACAAAGGCCTCCAGGAGACCACCGTCTCAAGCTATGAACTCCTAGGGTTTACCCATAGGCCCCACAGTAGTTCCTTTTTGGGGATTCCCCCAAAAAGGGTCCTAAGTATAAGCCACAAAAAAGGAGCTACTATGGGGCCCATGGGTAGGGTCTAGGGTTTACCCTGGACCCCGAAAGTATGTAAATTATAGGCTTTTGTAGGTTTGGGGCCATTATGTTACGTATTTGTTTCTTTTTGTTTGGGGGGGGTATAAACCTGTCCTGCGCAATTTCGGAGTTTGCACTTGATACGGTAGTATCAGGCTCAGGGGCGAGGATTCTAACAAACTCCAAAAGATTTGAAGAAATATTCAATCAAAACAAGACGCGTTTCTGGTATATTACTTCCCTAGTTAACGGATTGAAAGTTGTTGGGTATGTTAGGATCAGAAGCGTGGGACTAAGAATAGAAGGTAACTAACAATAAGTACTGCATGGTCGAGCCTGCTTCAACACCCGTTTTCCAGACCAGAAGCCAGAAATCTTAAGCATTGCGCCATGAAAAAGTCCCTAAACCCTAAACCCTAAACCCTATACCGTAAACCCTAGACCCTAAACTCTAAACCCTATACTGTAAACCCTAAACCCTAAAAGCCCGCGGAACCGCAAGCCATCCTCATTCATAGCAGGAGGCGCTCCGGCACATCCAGACAAGCTGCGGAGCGCAGTGAGAACCAAAAGGGACTGCGGTTTGGGGTTTAGGGTTTAGGGTTTAGGGTTTAGGGTTTAGGGTTTAGGGGGGGATTTAGAGGTCGAGGTATGGTTTATGCAAGGTCTAGAGTCTAGAGAAGCCTTAAATTGCATTCAATTCGAACTGAATGGAATTAAAGGCTTACAGGGCTTCAGGGTTCAGGATTCAGGATAGTTTTTCAGGGTTTATATGGCGATAAGAGTTCGGGTAGGGTTTCTACAGTTATAGGGTTTAGGACTGTACCGTCGGTACCTTTGTGCGCCACCCTCCTTTAGGGTTCAGGATTCAGGATAGCTTTTCAGAGTTTAGAGGGCGATAAGAGTTCGGGTAGGGTTTCTACAGTTATAGGGTTTTGGACTGTACCGTCGGTACCTTTGTGCGCCACCCTCCCTAAGACGTTAATAAAGGGCTACTGTCGTTATACTTTTATGCTGCGTAAGGAAGGGGGAGCATTCGAAGTCCGATATCATGAAGTTGGGTACTCTTGCTCGACACACTGAGCATGCAGAGAAACAGCTCCCTTCTTCCCTAGAGCTCATATGCTCGAGGATCGAGGCTCAAAGCCCTGAGCCCCAGTACATATGTATGTGATTATAAACATACATACATACATACATACATACATACATACATACATACATACATATATATATATATATATGCCTTGTGTAACCCGATGTGCAATTCCAAGAGGGTTCTGAATCGGCAGAGACTAACACTAAATCAGGCAACTTCATTAACCCAAATCCTCAACCCCAAGCCTTGTTTGAGCAGGTCTCCACCAAGACTTCATTGCTGCAGCGTCTCCAGCATCAGAAGCCCCGTGGGAAGCCCGGTGGCCGTTGGCTTGAGGATTTACGGCTCAGTGTAAGGCATTCGGGTGAGTTTTCGACGCTGACAAGGACGTGGGGAAAGGGAGAAGAGAGAGACTGTGATAAAAGAGTCGTGCAGCCAGTTTGATAAGAAGCACTGTGCAATAAAGCAGCATGTTTCCTTTTGCTGCTTAAACGGCTTGGCAACGACACGACCAACAAGATTAACAACGGCAAACAACTACTTATCGCACCAGCGACAACTTTAAAACGACGACGACGAGCGCGATGCGACAAAGACGAGACAAGGACCAACAACTCCAACACCATTGCTACCCTAAGCCTCAAACCCAAGACCCTAAACCCCTAAAACTCCCAGCACCACCACCGCCGCCAACAACAACAACTACTCGCTCCCCACCGTGAAATCAGGCATTGCACCTTCCTGGCATCACCAGGATGGGAGCAGGCCCAGTGCAGCCTGGGGTTTGGGGTTCTTAAGATCCAAGGTGCAGGGTTTAGTATTCGGGCCTTAGTAATTAGAATAGGGTTTGGGGTATATTGTACTATATAGTTATAATGAGGAACCCCCAAAACCCTATTCTAATTATGAAGGCCCCTAAAGTAGGGTTTCGGGTTCAGCCTGTGGGAGTCCTGGTTTAGGGGTTCATTTGACCCAGGACGCTCCTCGCACGCTCAAGCAGAATTGTGGGTACCGAATTGTATTTATTTGGGCGCTACCAGCTGGAGGTCTAGGGATAGAGTAGAGCGTCATCAGGAATTCAGGGTCCGCAAATTTTGGGGAGGCGGGCATGACGGTTTAGGTTGCTCGCTGTAGCACTTTACGTGTCGAATAGCTAGTAAGACTTTCCCCTTATGGCCCCTCACGAATGACAGCACAATGTACTTCATGCAAGGCCCCTATGTCAGCGCCTTCAGCAAAGGTTTGCTAGTGTTTGAGTTTTTGGGTATTGCAAAGGCCTCAATAACTAGAATAGGAATTTGGGGCTCCTTTATCGTATACCTTCAGTAAGGCACCCTAAGGCCCTAAGGAATAATGTTGGCAAGCATTTAGGCTTCTACCGTAGGTGCGTTTTTGCCCAATTTTGTTCGTTTTAGGGTCGGGACCCAGGGCTTTGAAGACTTATAGGAGTTATGTTGGCTTATATAAAGCCAGTGACCCCTGATAAAGACCCAAAGAAGTATAGCAACCCTTGAACCCTGCTCCCCCCCGAGCTCTCAGTGGAGGCTCCTGGCGCGTCAAAGGCAGCTGCAGGAGCTGCAGGCCAAAGAAGAGTCGCGCGGATCCCAGCTGAGAAGAGGGTTTAGGGTTTAGGGTTTAGAGTTTAAGGCCTTCAAGGAGAGCGCTCCTTTCAGGGGCTCCCTTAAGATCTAAGGTATTATACAAGGGATCTCTACTAGGGTTCCTTTACGGGCGCTTTTGAAGGTACTAGAAGGTTCCTTATAGGGTTCAGGGCTGAAGTCGTTTTACCTCACCTGAGCAATAGAAATGCTTACTGTTTTGGGGATTGGGGTTTACCCATAGGCCGCATAGTAGTTCCTTTTTGGGATTACTTTATAGGATTCTAAATATGAACCCTCAAAAGGAACTACTATGGGGTTTATGGGTAGGGTCTAGGGTTTAGGGTTTTGTCCGACTAAGTGATTGTGTTCGCCCTGGCCGAGTCCCAGCAGGTTAGTTACAGAAGGGTTTAGGGTGTGAGGCGGACAAATAAGGGCACGTGCACTGCAGCTCCTCCTCAAAAACAAGGTTTAGGGTTTAGGGTTTGGGGCTTAGCTTAAGTTCCTTATATAGGTCCTTGTTAAAGATAGGTTTCTTTGGTCCAAGGTAAGCCCAAAACAAAAGCTACTACAGCAAGCTCGTGAGGTACTCCTTGATCGCGTCTCTAAGGGTCCGACCACTTTAGTGCTTGTTCACTGGGATAAGCAATCCTAAGCCCCACTGTTGATGATATGAATCCTGCATTACCTTTCGGACCCTAAACTCTGGGAATTCTGGTATATGCCTTATTATGGGTAACGCAGGGATTTATATCATCAACCGTAGTTGGACGACGTGAAGCCATGCCTGCCTGGTGCGAGTGGGTGAGTCGAAACCTAAGGCTCCAAGCTTACAAGCAGTACGGGTTTAGGGTTTAGTACCGGGTTAGGGTTTAGGTTTTAGGGTTTAGGGTTTAGTGTCTAGAACTGGTACCTACTTTGGGCTATTTAGCGCCTCAGGGCAAGCAACAGTAATTCCTAAACCCTAAACCCTAAACTAAACCCGAGAGTCCAAACCCTGAGCCAACTATTTAGGCTGCTACGTCGATTCCACCTTGCCTGGACCCTCATCAGGACTTATGTTATTGACACCCCAGCCCTAATCGATTCAAAGTTCCATCCTCGGAAGCATGAAACTTGAAGTGTAAGATTCGATTTCCAGACAGCCTTTTCAACATGCTCAGATCAGGCCCGAAACAGGACCGACATCGTACTATTCCGAACCCAAACGCCTGTTCCGAAACCCGAAGCCACCAACCCTGAACCGAAGCCCTTGTCCCCCAAACCATAGAACACCAAAATTTTGAACCCCTAGGAATGTCATTATAGTCATTGTGTAGGCCCTCATATTACCCTTGTTCTTCGGTAAAAGCCCTTAATGCCCTAAACCTTAAGCCCTTAAACCCCAAACCACCAAAAAAAAACAATCAACACTTTTCGGTCTCAAACCCCAAACCCCAAACCGTTCATTCTACCTTCTTCCTGATTCCTTGGATGAAAAAGCGAGCCGGAGCCAAAGGAGCATCCAGCAGCAGCTGATGCAGCTGGCGAGCAAGGCGTTCGAACTCTTCTTTGCGGGACGCTGGGTCTAGTGTAAGCGCAGTATGTGCATATACATATAAACACATACATACCTACATACGTACATACATGTGCACCCACACACGTACATATTGCTTAAACGAATATGACATACATGTGCATGTATATACATACCCCAACCATCCCAAGTTCTCAAATGTGCCTATTTGGGCAGAGGCCTTGGTTTTCATGGCCTTGATACAAAGGCCTTGTTTTTCATGGTTCCGGAGCAACAACATGTTGATGTTATTCAACACAGATGTT